CCTCTCCCTCCCTCTTATACAAACAGGACTAGCTATGTTACCAGACTGGTCAAGGGGAAAGAGGCTTGCTTTGATTGTTTTGGGGTTGTTGATAACTTGGTTAAGACCTCCATACATTGCCTTCACCTGTAGTATATGATGGATCACTTATATGTGCTGCTTTTCTTCTAGAAACCTACATCTGTATTGGAATTTTACCGAGAGCTTGGACTGCCTCCAAAACAGAAAGTTAAAATCTTCCATGTAACAGATAATGCTGTAATTAAACCAGGTAATCTGAGGTTGGGAGAGGAGGGAAGTGAAAATACCCAAATATGTGATTTGTTTCGTGTCAGCCCTTTTAGTAAAGCTGAATCTAAAATACAGAGTCCTAAACACTTATTTTTGAAAACCGTGTCTGATTTAATCACTAGGTACAAACAAGTCTTTGTCTTTTTTAAGTGGAATAAGCTGCAGAGAAAGCTTTCTTTTTCATGAGTGGGGGAGGAGTACTTTTTTTCCTAACGTTGAGAGTCTCACATTCTGAAAGCCACATCCAAGAAATACACCGATGTCCAAGTCCAGAATTCACTGCTAACAGGCAGGCATTCTCTGATGTGGAGAACAGCAGGCTCAGGCATAGGTAGAAGACCTTGGCCAGCTGCAGCCTGCAACCGGAGAGACCATGGCGCTGCCATGCCAAGATACTTACTTTGAAATTCCCAAATCTTCTGCTTAATTCAAGGAATGTTAAAAAATAAGATCTGGCGCATCATCATATTTGTTCACGTAATTAGCAAAATACAGCATTCCGATGTCTCTGAGCTTCAGAAAGCTTCCCTGATCTCTTAAACTTGAGTTCTAGCAAGAAGAGAGTGGAATGATGTTTTTAGACTTGGTATATCTGAACTGAGTGTCTTGAAGTAAATACAGTTGCAACAGGCTTTTATTAGCTGGGGTGACAGGGGGTCTGCCTTGATATAAGGTAGAATTAACAGTAGCTTTTGAAGTTCAGATTTTGCAACTTTAAGTAAGGCAAAGTAAATGGAATTAAACTGACAAGTACAAAAATTTCCTGGGCCGTTGCATATTAGAGTGGTTTATAATGGGCACGTCCCACCTTTAGGTGCAAAGAGGCAGTTCCAAAGTATTTTGTTGTGTAAGCAACTTGTTCTGAAGCCGTCTTAAATATTCTCTTTGGTGTTAACATCCAACTTTCTTAGATCCTTTAGGAGAAAGATAAAAACTGAGTCCACATTAACTTTTGCTCTGGCCCAAACCATATGGAATTGTTTTCAAAAACGGTCAGATATCAGCAGATCAAGTTGTTTAGTCTCACAGAAATACAGTCACTGTTTTTTGCCCTATTATTTTTTAAATCAATGTTTTTGGTTGAAAATTCATAATTATAAACATTTATGTACATTGATGTTTTGATATTGTAGACAATATGGAATGATTAAATCCCTGTTTTTTTCTTAATTCAAGTTTTTTTCTGCCCATACAAATCCAGGTTGGGTCCTACCTTAAGGGAGTCTCCCCTCTGATATCTCACTGCCTGTATTTAACTAACTAAAGCAAGCTTTCAGTTACATTCTCTACTACATTGGTTCCTTATTTAATGATGTTAATGTTGTTTTTTCTTCATGATAATAAATTTCTTGAGGTCAGGGGCCATGTCTTAAAATTTTGAATTTACAGCTTTACATATTTGTAAGTGCCTGATAAATGTTTGTTAATTAATTGCCAAATAGTTCTCATAAATGTTGTTAATTGTAAATTCATATAAACAAAGCATTGTGAAGGGTTTCGATTTTTCACAAAGTTTTAAATTCTTTTAAATAGCAGTCCTCAAGTGCATTTAAGGTAAGATTTTATTTGCATACAACTAGTTTTGTAAATGTTTCTATATAAAATTGGGGGTATTTATGGTGGCAGTTTTTTGCTATCCCAGATATCTGGGTCCATGCTAGGAGAACTATATTTTGTTGGCACAATGAGAGTTCACCAAAAATCTCATATACATGGACATTACACATACTGTAATCATTACCTAGCTTATGAAGGACTGGACTTGGGTTCAAACCATTAAGCTTTCTGTGTCTCCAGTAGGTGCAAAATATTTTATCAGTCCCCAGTGTTTTTTGGTTATTTTCTTGTTTTTTTTTTCCTTATGTGAAATAGGAAAAATAGCTTTTCTTTTCTTTTTTTTTTTTTTTTTTGAGTCTGAGTCTCATTCTTTTGCCCAGGCTGGAATGCAGTGGCATAATCATAGCCACTGCAGCCTGACCATACTGGGCTTGAGTGATTCTTCCACTTCAGCCTTCCAAGTAGCTTGAACTACAAGCATGCGCCATCATGCACAGCTCATTTTTTGATCTATTGTAGAGATGCAGTCTTGCCATGTTTAGGGAGATCTTGAACTCCTGGGCTCAGGCAGTCTTCTTGCCCCGGCCTCCTAAGTGCTGGGATTATAGACACGAGCCAGCGAGGAAATATATCTTAATTCCATGTATCTGTCATTAACCAGAACAACCAAGAATCATGAGATGTGTGCATTACTAGCAAGAGTACTGTGACATCACAGAAGTCACTCATTTCCCCAGCACCACTTTGGCCTCTGGAGGCAGCAGCCACCAGAAGGCGTGGTCCAGTAGCTCACTAGCACCACTGGGCCCCATTGTTCAATCCGCACAGAGTCGGTTAAAAGACATGCTTGTCGAGTAATTTCATTCCTTGGATGCTTCTAGTGTCTCTAGTTGCAGAAGAGACTCTCCTGCCACTTTTGAAATCTGATAGCTAGTGTCCTTTCTGGATGTAGTTCAAGTGTGGTAAGCTGTAGCTGTGCTGACAATTTTGTATCGGCTTTTCATTTTCTTCCTCACAGGCACGCCTCTGTATGCTGCTCACTTTCGTCCGGGACAGTATGTGGACGTCACAGCCAAAACGTAGGTCCTCACACAGGGTCTCGCTTCCTTTTGCTTTTCTCATCCACAGTAAGTGAGCAGAGTGAACAAAAGAAGCCAGCTTTTCCATCGGCGGGTGGACGATGAATATCACTCGTGTTCATAATTCTATCTGAATATCACTTACTGTCCTGGTTTTAAATTTGCACTGAGCTAGTTGTGTGTGGAGAGTTTGCTTCTGGTTCCAGCTTTTAAGCTGCAACGTGTGTGTCTTACAAGGTGGCTCAGAGGAAGGTGCTTCCAGGCCCTGTAGAAGACTACATGCGGTTTGCTGGGGGTGGAGTTCTCCTGAGACGGTTGTGTAGGCTAGCTGCTGGCTGTTCTTTCCCGTTCCAGGAAGCAGTTACATGAGAAACATTCTGTGGTGTCTGTGACAGTGGTTGTTGTGTTTAAGCTTTTCCAAAGTATCTATAAAAGTTGCTATAACTGTGTTCAAAGCCCATTAGAAGCTGAAAGAAGAAATCACACCCTGCCTTTCCTCTTTAGTAGCAACAGATGATTCCTCTGCACTCCACTGGGAGACTTCTCCCAGCAAAGCACACGCTTTTTAATACTTAAACAAGGGTTTGGTTTGGTAGAAATCGGCATTCAGTTGTCATTCTGACAGAAATGCTGGGGCTGAGGCAGATTTCTCCAGGCAGTGGTATTTTTGGCGCTCTGGCTTTCTGTCACTCCCTGTTTGTGTCAGATGGCCTAGGGCAGTTCAGAACTGGCAACATTCAGATCTTGGGGAAGCGGCTTTTCAGACATTGGCTGAGGACACCTCGCTGCAGAATGAGGTGACCAAGCCCGTGGTGAGGTCGAAACTGGAGTGTGGGTCACTGGACGCACGTGACCTGGGCCAGCCTGGACCCCAGTGTCGGCAGTCCCCACTCCTGTTGTTCTCTCTGCTTGGATGATCCTGTCGCTTCCCTTGGAGCCTCGGTTTCCTCCTTTTCTTACACAGTGGTGTCTGCAGGGATTCTCCTCAGGGAACCCGTTGACCATCATCCACAGCTGCTTTGGGGCAGGCCTCTGATGGCAGTTACTGGGCAGAGCAGCCTCCGCCCACGGAGCCAGGTCAGCGCCGGCAGCGCCTGCCTTCACGCGGGCAAGTGCAGGCCGTTGCAAGAGCCGCAAGGGACCTCACTGGCCCTGCTTAGCCATTCAGAAGTGAGGGGGGAGAGATCGGGGCTCCCCTGTCGAGAGAGAGCAGACCAGTATACTTCTTTTCTTCCTGCATCCTGATTGTCATGAGCTTGTCCCTAGTTCGAGGACCCCGGAAACCCCTGTTTTCCTGGTAACTATGTTTGTTGTGCTTTTCTTGGTCAAGAACACAAGTTACTGGAGCTCTAAATCTTTGATTTGGCTAGTTGGGGAGGTGTGTGTGTTATGAATCCGATTATTTCGCTTTTTAATTGCTGAATGAACTACAACACAGTAATTCTGTTCATTTCACACAGTGTTGTGTGAATTTCATTATGTATTTTAAAGAATATACACCATATCCTGAGATGCCATACAAAGTCGAGTCCCTTAGCAGGAGGCAGTGGCTGGCCGTGTGGCTGGGCTGGGAGCCTCACTGTCCAGTGCCTGTGTTCAGTAAATGCTGCTGCTGCTGGGTTTCCTTGGCTTCTTCTTAAAATTGCTTTCTAGACTGGGCACAGTTGCTCAAACCTGTCATCCCAGCACTTTGGGAAGCTGAGATGAGAGGATTGCCTGAGCCCATGGGTTCAAGACCAGCCTGGGCAACATAGTAAGACCTCGTCTCCACAGGAAATCAAAAAAATTAGCCAGGCGTGGTAGCGTGCACCTGTACTTCCGGCTACTTGGAAGGCTGAGGTGGAAGGACCGCTAGAGCCTAGCAGGTCGATGCTGGGGTGGCCTTGAGCATCACTCCAGCCTGGGTGACGGAGTAAGACTCTAACTCAAAAAGAAAAAAAGCTTCATTCTAATGTCAGCCTCCTTGTGGGTATAAAGTGAAGAGGAAGTTTTCTTGTTTTGTTTGGAGGGCCTGTTCTTAGGAAATAAGACTGTGAAGCCATGTGTAGCCTCGGAACTAAACAGCAGTAAGAGTTGGGGGCATGACTAGCCTGGGTTTACAGTAGTGCCGGTCACTCTGGAGAAGAAGGGGTCTTGCACTTGAGACCACCCCTGTCTTATGGGCAGCAGTGAGTGTCTGTCTGACTCTCACTGTGTGATGCGGGGGGACTGCCCACACGTGTGCACGGTGATCGGGTGTGCACACCTTCTTATGCTGTTACCTGAAGGCAGGATGAATTGCACTTCCCTTGGCCTTTTGCTAAATGTCGCCGAAGACTGCAGCCCTCATAGCTGGTGTGCTCTTGTGCAGTAAGGCACATTTCAGCCCTTCTCGGGTGGCACTGTTTTGAATCTCCCGAGTGCAGCCTTGGATTCTCACCACCGCATTGGTCCTGGCTGCCGTGGCCTCTGACCCCTGTGCTGTGGTGTGTGCTGTGCACGCATTAGATTGCTTTTCTTTTTCCTCTTTAAACTCTTCTTCTCCCTCCTTGCCCTGAGGCTTCTTTTGGGGCTAGCTCCCCCTGCTTGGAACTTACATCCTTTGCAGGCAGTGAGAGTGTTTTTTTTGTGTTTACTGTAAATGAACCCATGGCCTCTTGGGCATTGCGCTGAGTCCTTGGGCTCTTATCACTGTGACTCACTGAGGGCCAGAGATTTGCTATCTTGTCCTCCATTTTCAGCCTCTGTTTTCAAATTTTAAACTTCTGGGCTCCGTCTTCTTGATTATTAATGTAAACACTGAAGAAAAAAATGGTGCAGTGGTGCGGCGACATGGTTAAGGGCGTGCTGAGAAGACATGGACTCGCAGGCTTATGCTCGGGGCTTTTGTGTTGCCTAGTGGACCGCTTTCCTCGCCTTCTGGTTGTTCCTTCTTTAATGCAAGGGCTGCTCCAGCACCTGCCTCCAGCAAAGATGAGTGAGATCACACAGAGGAGCCCTTAGCATAAGGCCTGGCACACAGCGAGTGCTCAGGCACGTTGCTGCTGTCACTGCTGTGTCTTTGCTGCTTTTTAATTCGTTTGGGTTTCAGAAGGAAACATCTGTGCCTTCCTTAAAATTAATAGGACACATAAAGCCATCAGGCATTCGCTTCTGGTGTTTTCTGATACATCAAGTTCTGCCTTCCTACTTTACAGTGTGTTTTAGGTAGCAAATCACTGGTCATATGAGTGATTATCAGTTAATCTAGGATTTGCAGAGTAGTGAAGATGCCCTTGAAATGGCACCTTGCCTCTCTGATTGGCTGGGCCGTTTTTACGTTTTTCCTCTAATCCACATCTCCAGAGGCAGGTGACCTGGGTGAATGTGTGGCCAGGTGCTTCTGTCTGCAGGACTTGACCTTGGGCAGCTGGCTCATCTTGTGTGGATTTAGATTTCATTCTCTTAACATGAGGGCGTGGGGCTAGATGATTTCTAAGGCTTCTTTCAGTTCTAGGAATCTGTTTCCAGGAAGTATTCCTTCAGTTTTTCAGGAGCATAACTCTTATCTGTGCTGATGAAGAAATAACTTGGGATGGTAGATTCCCCTGCCTGGCAGAACCATGGTCTAATCTGCCAAAGAATGTTACATGACTAGAGACCTTCAGAAAACCGTTATGTCCTTTCATGATGCTGCAGATTTGGTTATTTGAGTTTTATTTTCTGGGAAGAGCAGACTGCACTCAGGGCAGCAGATGCGATGTTCTGGGTTTATTTAGGACAGCCGGGAAGTCGAAGGAATCACTGCTCTTTGGCCCTTCTACTACTGGATGGGCTGGATTTGATGTCAAAAGAACTCTGTCCTGTGAACTCCCAGCAGTCTCTCATTGACAGAAATGTTCCCAGGTACTGATGGGAGGTTTGTGGTTCTTACACAGAAACCACACGTCTGCATTTTGGTCATGCGCCACACTTTTCCTGGAGGTTATAGCCACACAGCCCTCCGTGCCCGCTTCTGAGTGTATGTGAATGGGACACAGGGCATCGGGAGGTTCCACCACGACTGACGTGCGGGCTCGGGGGCTGTCCGTCACTGGTGTGAGTCGGTGGGAACGCACCGACTCCCCGGCTGCACAGGAACCCCTGGAGGAGCTTGCCTCTGAAAGGTCTTGGCTGTGCAGGCAGGTCGACGGCACCTTGCTGCGTGTGCCGGAGCGAGGAGAAACTGTGACGCGGGATGAGGGTACCTGTGCTGCGTTCTTCGTCCTGGGTTGGAAGCTCGTCAGAGGGAGACTGTGAGCTGACTGAAAGCCCTGTGTATGCAAGTGACTTATTTGGGCAAAACACGTTCTTTTTTGTTTTGTCTTGCTTTTTGGAATTTTTGTATTAAAACTAAGAACATTTGGGCAGTTTAAATCTAAAGCATAGTGAAGTTACTATTATGTCCTGTAAGAAACTAATTTGATATTGGCTTAGACCTCTGGCTGTTATATTCAACAGTACTTTGAAAGATTTCATCTTTGATGTGTTCTTGGTGGTTCTGTTTCTAAAGAAGCCCAATCCTGACTTTGGTTAGAAACTCAAAGGGTTCTCCATTTCCTGTGTTCAAACCTAATGTTTAACTGCCAGAGGCCAGCTCCGGGGGGTTCATGGGGACCCGAGAAGGAGGCGTGATGAGGCGAGGGAAGGAAGAGTCGTGACCAGAGTTTCTTTTCAGGCACTCTGGCACTGAAGCACAGCAGTGCTGATTTATTTATATCATAATTTTTGGCACACACTTAGCAGAAAGTTAACAGTAAAAGAAACAATTAACAATCAAAACATATCGAAACGATTGTATGACGTACTAATGATTTTACAATTCTTATGATTTTTGCGTAATTATACGATTTAATAATGTCTGCATATAAGAAGCTAGCTGTTCTTGGAAGTGGTAACTTATTAAAAGGGCAAGGTTAATAATAGTCAAAAGGTTAGCAAGTGGAAAGTAAAACTTATGCTTTATAAAGGTAAATAGTCTATATAGATATAAAGGTGTTAGG